GTGGTGGGAAACTGCTTCCCTTTCCTGAGGCGCCGGATGGTTTGCCAGAATTTCTTCGAGGCCGACCGATAGTCCTCCTCCATGGCCTCTCCGAACTTTTCCCAGACTCGAGTTTTTGCTTCCGCGACTGCCCGAGCTGCAGTCCGCTTGGCCTGCCTGTACTTTTCGGCTGCTTCAGGAGTCCTACGAACCAACCAGGCTCGATAGGACTCCTTCTTGAGTTTGACTACTTCCCTTACTTCCGGTGTCCACCACCGGGTTCGGGGATTGCCGCCACGACAGGCACCGGAGACCTTACGTCCGCAGCTTCGGACAGCCGCATCAACAATGGAAGTGGAGAACATAGTCCACTCAGACTCAATGTCTCCAGCCTCCCTCGGGACCTGTTCAAAACTCTCCCGGAGGTGGGAGTTGAAGGCCCCCCTCACCGGGGATTCTGCCAGACGTTCCCAACAGACCCTCACGATACGTTTGGGTCTGCCAGGTCTATCCAGCTTTGCCCCCCGTAAGCGGCGCGGTGATCAGTTGACAGCTCAGCCACTATCTTCACCCTAGTGTCCAATTCATACGGCCGGATGTCAGATGACACAACTACAAAGTCGATCATTGACCTCCGGCCAAGGGTGTCCTGGTGCCAAGTGTACTGATGGACACCCTTATGCTTGAACATAAACTGTGACTAGCACAGAAGTCCAATAACAAAACACCACTCGGATTTAGACCGGGGAGGCCGTTCTTCCCAATCACCCCCCTCCAGGTGTCACTGTCGCTGCCCACGTGGGCGTTGAAGTTCCCCAACAGGACGATGGAATCCCCGGGAGGAGCACTGTCCAGTACCCCTCCCAGTGCCTGCAAGAAGGCCGGGTATTCTACACTGCCCGTAGGCCGGAACAACAGTGAGACACCTATCCCTGACCCGAAGACGCAGGGAAGCGACCCTCTCGCTCAATGGGGAGAACTCCAACACACGACTGGCAAGCTGGGGAGCTATAAGTAAGCCTACACCAGCACGCCGCCTCTCACCGCGAGCAACTCCAGAGTAGAAAAGGCACCTGTCCCTGACCCGAAGGCGCAGGGAAGCGACCCTCTCACTCAGTGGGGAGAACTCCAACACACGACTGGCAAGCTGGGGGGCTATAAGTAAGCCTACGCCAGCACGCCGTCTCTCACCGCGGGCAACTCCAGAGTAGAAAAGGGTCCAGCCTCTCTCAAGGAGTTGGGTCCCAGAGTCCAAGCTGTGTGTGGAGGTGAGCCCGACTATATCTAGTCGGTATCTCTCAACCTCCTGCACGAGCTCAGGCTCCTTTCCCCCCAGCGAGGTGACATTCCATGTCCCCATAGCTAGAGTGGTTGTCCAGGGATTGGGCCGTCGTGGTCTCCGCCCACAACCGCCACCCAAATCACAAGGCACCGGCCCCTTGTGGGCCTTCCTGCGGGTGGTGGGCCCACTGGAAAGCGGACTCACGTCGCTTGTTCGGGCTAAGCCCCGTGAGTCCCGTGAACAAGGACCCGGCCACCAGGCGCTCGCCTGCGAGCCCCACCCCCGGGCCTGGCTCCAGGGTGGGGCCCCGGTGACGTCAATCCGGGCGACGTGAACCTCTTTGTTGTTTTCTTCATCGGGGGGGTTGAACCGCTATTTGTCTGATCCGTCGCCTAGGACCTGTTTGCCTTGGGAGACCCTACCAGGGGCATCAAGCCCCCAACAACGTAGCTCCTAGGTTCATTCGGATACTCGAACCCCTCCACCGCATTAAGGTTGCAGTTCAGGGAGGGGAGAATTAAATATTTACGAAATAACTTAAATTACAGCACAAGTAACAAAAACTTTCAAACCTCTGGACCTATGGATAAAAACACATCTTTGAGGCTACAAGCAGATCGAGCTCAGCACAGAGTACTCATGTAACAGGGACAAACTAACAGGACAAACATTCTTCTATCCACAGTAAGAAGAAAAAAACGATACCATACCGCATTATGTTTGAAAGTTCTGTTAGGCAACTGGACGTGAATTTTCTAAAAATTACCGCAACATGTTTCCTCAGGTTGGACGATGGGCTTTTGAAAGCTGAAATATCCGTATGTTTGGGCCAACACAGAAGACACCGCATGATGAAACTGCTGTTTCGCACTGTTTGTAACGTAAACATACTTTTAATATGAGGCCAGGGTGTGCCTTCTTGTCTTTATCAGCATTGCTGACCGTTGATTCTGCCATTTTTTGCTGTGGTGGATACTGACCGCTAAACTAATCCGTCCCGCCGCCGAGATCGAGTATGGTCACGTGATGAGACTGCGCAACATTTAATTTGTCACAGTCGCACGGTAGAGCCTTGGGCGGAAGTCACTCTCTGACAAAATAAACGTAGAGATACTGGATCATGGATCTATAGAGAATAGAGAATATAGTTAAAGCTTTATCCAGTATCTCTGTAACGAGTAACGAGCTCAGTACAGCCTAATTTAGCAGAGTAAGAGTACTGTTTTTTCTTCATAAATCTACTCCAGTAAAAGTTAAAAGTATAGTGATTTAAAACTGCTCCTAGAAGTATTTTATTTTGAAAAACCTACTCAAGTAAATGTAACGAAGTAAGTGTAATTCATTGCTACCCACCTCTACTCATAGTAATAGGAAAATAATAAAAAAGGATGTTTTTTTTCATTTGTACATTTTTGTACTAATGC